CCGCCCCCGCTAGCCGTTTTTTTTGTTTTGGCCAGATGGAGAGGGGGGCGCTGGAAACCCGGTTAGGTGTGGCGGCCGTGGCGCGGGGGTTGCGAGGGAAAGGCCCGGAATACCGCAGACACTTTCTTTTTTCCGATGTCTGCCGAATGGTGCTTGGGCGTTGCCGTTGGCAGGTTGAAGAATCGCGGAGACCGGGGGCCTCTGGGCGCCAAAAAGTTTTTTTTGTCTTTTTCTACACCCTTCAGGTCCGCATTTGCGTCTCTTTATCGTATTGCTTTCTAATGTTTGACGAGGCTCTCGAAAAATTGTGCCAGTTTGCTCCTTGTTCTAGTTGCTATTTTTACTCTTCTTTATCTATTGACCTAATTTTTTTTTTTGTGTTCTTGTTGCGGATGCGTATAGAGTTTCGTGTAGATGGATTATCTCTCTCAGATTTACAAGGATGACTGCTACCGGGATTATACGGATTGCGATCCACCTATTTCACTCGCCGTCATAAGCAGTAAAGAACTTCACATAGCAGAGGGGCTGTCACATTTTTTTGACTCAAGTGCATGTTTTCGGCTGAATCACTTCAGGAATCTACAATCGCTCCTTACGCAAAAGGTAAAAGAAAGCTTGCCCTCCAGTGTTGCTGAGGTTTTCAAGAGTAATTGGTGCACTAAGCATGTGAAATTAAGGAGCAGCTGCGTTATCTTCTGCTTGGACTGGGATGAGTTGGGTGATGCTTCAATGGATGAGCTATGGCTATCCGAAGTTTGTAATCAAATCAAGGAAAGCATGCGTCGCTTTCGGTGCCGTGTTATAATTGTCCTTGCAACCGAAAAGAAAATGAGTAAAAATGTCACATCGTGTGCCCAGATTGAGAAATTACAGTATGAGGTGAAGTTATTTTTGGGCAGCGAATTTAAGAGCGTTCTTCCTTTGTTTGAGGACGGATTGGATAGGCACAGTGCAGAAAATCTGTTTCGCATGGTCGTGGAGTTATCTACAAAGTATCACAGGGATGAGGCAGTGCGGCTTAAGAGCTTTGCGGTGGAACCAACCTTTCGCGCGGTGCGACGCATGTTTAAAACTGGATGGCATTGTCTTGTTTTGAAAGACCATAAAGCTGCGAAGCGGTGTTTTGAAGTGGCGTATAGGACGCTCAAGGACATTGCACCTTTTTTTCCAGCGACTGAGTTGCGGATTTGTGGTACCATCCTTCTTCACCATATACTGCACATTGTTTCTGCGGAAGCTTCGGTTTCATCTGAAGAACTGTGTTATCAACTCTGTGAGGATCATATTATTTGGGTGGGCCAAGCCCTTCGCTCGAGTTCTGCTGAGAACAAACAGATGGCTGGATTTTTGCGTTTACTGTTGTTGGGTGAATGCTACGACTGGCTAGCACAGAACACCTCTAGTATGGCTGTTGGAGTTCGCCAAGACTTCCTTGTCGCGTCATTAGTAGCGTTTGGAGATGCTCTGGATATGATCCTAAATTCTCTGCCTTCTTCACTTTCAGTCACAATTCCTGCTTATGTTGGTTCAGAGTGTTGTCTGGAAACTCACCGTTGTGTTTTTTCTTGTGATCACGCAGATTTATTGTCGAAACGTGTGAAGAGCACACTAAATCAAGTCTTGTCTCAGACAGAACTCTCGGTGGAGGCCATTTTCATTTCTGCACGGGCATCCCAACTAATTTGTGGAGGTGAGGAAGTCTTTGTTTTGTTAGAAAAATTACGGAGTTTTAGCACCGGGACTTATCGCGAGGCAGAAGCTGTCCACAAACTGCTGATGGAGTCCACAAAGAATGGTATTGTCGCTCTTAGTGAAAGAAGTCGTGCAGAATTCTTATATTCGGTTGTGTCACTTTGTTTTGGGCCTGGAGACAGAAAAAAGCAGAGGCACTATCTTGGTTTGCTTTTAGATACGGTAAAGCTGGCTGAGCTGGACATGGTTACACTCTCGTATCCGAGGATGGGATGTTGCGCTCCTTTCACTGTGTTGTGCAGTTTTGCAAACAAACGCCAGGACTGCTTGAAAGCAGCTCAATTGAAGCTTACGCTTTTCACCACGTCTGTTGACACGATTATTGTGGACTGCCTTTGTGTCATAGTTTCTCGTTTTTCTGGCGACAAGAGGATGAACTCGATTACGCATTCTGTGTCGAAAAAACCCCTTGAGGTGAGGCTGCATGCACCCTGTAGTGTTAGTGTTTTGTTAAATCTTGAAGAACCGGGAATGTACCATTGTACATGTATTCGCGGACGCATCAAGCATGGTGGTACCTGTTTGAATGTTGGGTGGAATATGGATGATTCACCGACTGGACAATGCTCCCTACAACGGTGTGAGATAGTTGGGGAGGTTTTAGGTGTGTCACAACATAATCCATGGATATGTGTGGCAAAGCCAGCGTGCCGAGTTGATATGGTGGCTCCAAATAACATCATGGGAGTTGAAGGTGAGGAGGTCTCTGTCGACATTGTTCTCAGAACTGATCAGGATTTGGAAGGGAGAAACAGCCTTGTATTACCCTTTGTTCCCAGGTTATACGAATTCTCTAGCCATGAACTCCTTGAAAAGCGATCGAGGTTGGGGGATGGACCTCAGAAAGGTTATCGCACAGTTATTTTAGACAACCTTCCTTCATTGTCTCCATGTAATCCCCTTCGACTATCAGTGAAGTACAGATGTCTAAAGGCTGGTAAATACATCGCTCCAATTCTATTTCAGTGTAGATCGGCGAATTATTCGGGTAGGGATGTATTGAAGAAGGTACAGATGGACATTTTCTATCCATTCTCTCCGACTTACACACTGCTGAAAGTTTTGCCTTGGACGGTGAGCTCTCTCAAAAAAGATGTGCTTTTGGGTTCAGAAGCCCGTCTCAGTGTCCCAGAAAGGTCTGATGCATTCGTACGGCGCGAGGTATTTACCTTGGTTTCACCCCGAGATTGTATTAATGAAGATGCATCAACAATGCAGAACAACAGGGATATTCTACTTTACAGTGTACACAGGGAAATTACAGCGAATAGAGTTGATCTCAATGTTCCAAAAGGGGAGGAAATCGTCCTTGTGGTGTCAATGGAATGCCAAGCTATTCGAGGATTAGATGTACAGGCTTTGGATGTTGTCTGTGCTCATGGTACCACACTCAGATCACTAAATGTGGGTACGCTTCCTTGCCATGTCGATTACTTGGAGAAATTAACATTGACAGCAAAGATTTGTGCACTGAGGGTTGGAACGTATTCCCCTGGCTTTGTTCGAATAGTAGTGGTTCCCGAAGGTGGTACACAGCGTATTGTGTCTGATCTCCCTTTGCCTGACTTAAGAGTGGAAGATGCGCCTCTTGCGCTAGCTGTGAAAGGACCTTCAACTGTCATTCTTGGTTCACCATTTCTCGTTTCCTTTGATGTGGTGAATAAAACAGTGGATTCCCGAAACTGCGAGTTGGTGGTTGGAAAGTGTGAAGATTTTTTTTTGATGGGTGGAAGGACTCAATGGAGTTTCTCTCTGGGTCCAAATTCCATCAAGTCGACCGAAATTATTTTACAACCTCTTTGCGTTGGCACCGTCACTCTACCATCTGTTTTTGTAAGACTTTCATCAGAAATGGCGTCTGGAACTTTGGCTTCGTGCCAGTGCAATTCGCAGAGGGTATGTGTCTTACCGTCTTGATTGGACTGCTCATCTTACATGAGAATCAATTGTGTAGGAATCACGAGGTTTTTTTTCTTGTTGATGTATTTTGTATTTTTTTTGTGCAATTCCCTACCTTTTTGTGGGACCTCTCTCTTGTTTTCATCTTATGCAGCTGAGGAACAACAGAGTGAGAAGAAGAGCAAAACGCTTAGTAGTGCATTTGTTGACGATGAAGGGGGAGAAGTCAGATGCTTTGGTTGAGAGGGCTATGTCAATGGGGATTGATTGTGATGCTGATACCCTTGAGCAGCTGCGTCAAGTGCCTCTTCTGCACTTGACTCAATTGATGAGCACTCACCTCACGGACGAGAAGCATGTCGTTAGCGCACTTTTGGTTTTGGCTCGTGCAACAACAGGTCGTGATTGTCTAACCGATGAAGAGGCTGTGGTTATATTGCGATTTTTTACCGGGAAGCTAACCTCGTTGCCAAATGTTGAGGCCGCCGTGGAGTCTATATCACTTGTCGTTGAGGACTTGTCTACCCAACGAAGTTGTACCAAGATGCTTTTTGATGTGCTCTCTGACGGTTTTTTGCGAAATGTTGGGTTTCAAGCTTTACCGACGAAGATCCGACGATGTGGATATAAGATTTTCATGTTTATGGTAACAAAAAAGACCATGCCGTGGCTTGCTACGCCATTTCTTCGACTACTTTTGAATGCATTAGATGGGGAGAGTGAACCGGAACTTGTGATGCATGCTCTTGACCTTCAGTATTTGATTAGCAGATGCGTGGATAAAGATGTTATGGAACCTCTGTTAGAGGACTATTTCGATAGTCTTTCCAGCTACTTTCCAGTTGTGTTTTCGCAGCCGCCAGAGTGCCCCGTAACAAGAGATGACTTGAAGCGAGCCCTCACCAGGTGCATGACCTGTCCGCTTTACGTGGATTTGTGCGTCTCATTCCTCTTGTCAAGGTTACCATCTCCATCATCTGTCGTAAAACAGGAGTCAATTGAGGTGTTTTTGGAACTCTTTTCTCCCAATTCAAGGCATTCTATGGACGAATTGAAACCCCACTTGCTTTCCGTTGTGAGTCATGTGCGGAATGAAGTAGTTCGAGCAGTATCGGTTGGTTGTGGCGATAGTGATGCGTTTTTGCAAGGTTGTATGAAGTTGTTGGGGTTCATTGCTAAAAGAACTCATGATACTTCTTATACTTCTATTCTATCTTGGTTAGAACCGATAACCAGTGGAACTTTGGCAAGTTTGAACTCTGGTCGTGTGGTGTGTTCAGCATATGCCACAATGTTGTACCATCTAGCGTCCAGCGACGTGTGTTGCAGCACGTCATTGGCCCGCTACTTTCTGCCATTACTACTAATGAATGTACAACAAGAAATTGAGAGTGATGTTGACGATTCTCTTCTTATATTATCGGCGTTGCTGACTGGTTTTTTTGATTTGGGTAACGCCAGTGGTAGTCTCAATGGATCCATACCCAAGGATGTTATGAGGGAAAGCCTGCAAGTTGGTTCGTCAGGGCTTTTTGAGTTTGCAGAAAAAAAGGTACTGGAGTTGCTTGACAGGGCTGAACCACCTTCGGTGTTCATCAAATGTGAGTTCCTTTCATCACTTTTGAGTCTAGCTGCCTATCTATGTCCGTGGATGCCGGATGAGATTGTTCAGGTGTCCTGCAAAAGACTTGTATCCATTTGCTTGTGTGGAGACCAAAACATCAGTGAGAAGGTTGCCAATTGCATTTCTCGTATTGGTCGTGTACAGGGAGACATTCTGAAGGATGTTCTGCTCAATGCAATAGATGATGTGGAGCCTGGGGTCACCGGTGTTTTTGCACTCTACCAAGGTCTGCTGTCATCATCCGTTTCAACTGCGGTGACAGCAATGGAAATTTTGTTGATACCATCCAAGACGTCTTTTGCAGATCGGCTTCCTGAGGCCAATGTGTTTTCATTATGCCTTCATGGTCTCTCTGAGCATGAGGATATATCAGGGGAGACGGCACTGCGTCTGTTGACTCTGTTGGTTCAGAGAGACTCAGTTGAGAGTTTTGAGTTGATATGCGAACTGCTCTTGAGGATCCCGATAACTCTTCATGGCACAACCCTGTTGCAAATGATCGATGAAAAACGGTGGGGGATTTTGATGACGGCGCTTCTTTCTTGTTGTGAATCAGACATACTTCACGTTGCAGAATCTACTGAACACTGGGTAGCTGAACTATTGACCGGCGTTTGCCAAAAAAATCTTCAGTGCTTGGCTATGCAGGGTGTGTCAGCTTTGTGTGCCCGCGTGCCGAGTGTTTCCGATGCTTTTCTCGAAAGGTCGAAATGTTGTGATCCTGCAGCTGCGCTTGCTTTGTATGCCGCAACTGCCCGAGGTCTGCTAGTGGCTGGTGAGGTTATGAACGATAAGGTCGAGCAAATCACAGAGAGGTTGATTGGCGCAGTCTGCGAAGGTATAGATGCTGACGACGCGTTGGTCGCCACCTTCTTTTTTCCGTCTCATGGCTCCAAGAGATCCATAAGTCTCCTCGTCCCACTGACCCTGAGTGCACGGAAAAGCGGAGCTCCTTTGCCGTTGAAACTAATAAGGATTCTCGTTTTGCTAATAAAAAAAGAAGCATCTGTCTTGAATTTTGATTGGAATGGTGTCCTAGAAATCTGCAGTAAGGTGGCGCGACAGGAGCGGACTGAGGATATTGTCGTTGGTATTGTAGAACTTCTTGACAGCATATTCTCTCGAATAGACTCTAAAATCTTCTTTATGCGACTTCTTGTGATGGATGGTAATCTTTTCCACCTCATTCAAAGTGGTGTACGTTCTTCGGCCCTGCGCACGCGGTGTACTTCATTAAGCCTACTATCACAAGTAGCTTTAAGTGCGGTGCAACTCTCCACGCAGGGTAGTGGGGATGAATATAGCCACAGAGAGGAAGTGATGCGGTTGAAAGGGGATGTGCTGCATGTGGTACAGCCTGCGCTGAATGATCACAAACGATTAGCTCGTCGCGCCGCTGCATACTGTGCAAACCAATGGTACAAATTAAAGTAGTAATTTCATAAAATATTCATGTGTTTTGTGTTAAATGATGGTTCTCCCCGTGGGAGTTTCCCGCTGATAAAAAGAAAATGCATTCTTTATTTTCTTCTTACTATTATTAAAAGCCACCCCTTCCAAAAAAAAAAAAAGAAATGAGGTTTCTCGTTTTTCTAGATGCTGAGACGGAAATACTCTGTGCAGGTGTTGCTTCAGAAGCAAACGCTGTGGGAGACTCTGTTGAAATTGTCCAGTACAATGGTTCACTCATTCAAGCTATTCGTCAGAAAGACAAACAGCAGCAGGATATGACTAACGTTTTTACCTGCTTCATCACAGAGACGAAGACGCTTGAGGACGCCGATGTTGTGTATGCACTGTACTGCAGACGTCTACCTGTTCTGTCCTTAGCAAATAAACATTGTGCTCCAGTTTTGTTGCTTGAGACCATGTCCTCACTGGGCGTCGACCAATCGGATGATCTCCTTACGTCACAGCTTCGCGCCCTGAAGGCCTTCTTCTTATTTAAATCTACACGAAGTCAGGTTATTGTTCTTGAAGGTGGTGATGGTGTAGGGAAGGCGACACAAACAAAGCTTCTGATGGATCATCTCAGGTGTCTGGGTCATCGCACTGCTACTCTTGAGTTTCCATCGGAAAAGAGTCGGTATGGTGGACTTCTTCGCGAGATTTTGTCAGGAAAAAAGGGAGGCATACAGGAGTTAGACCCAAAACTTTTTAGCTTGATCTTTGCCTTGAACCGTTTTGCTTGTTTCTCTGAACTTCGGTACTGGATGCTCCGTGGCACCAAAATTGTTCTCGATCGGTACTACACTGCGAACTACGGTCACCAAGCCTCTAAATTTCCGGAAGAGAAACGCATCGGGTTTATTCACAACCTTCAATTAATGGAGGTTACGTGGTTGGGTCTTCCCCCTGCGAATGTCGTGTTCTATCTTGACCTCCCTCCCGATACGGCGTTGAGTGCGATGAAGGCAGATCGGAGCCGCGGACACCTTGATATTCATGAGACAGCGCAGCACACATACAAAGAGGATGTTAGGAATACCTACTTGTGGTGTTGCCAAGAACTTCCAAACTGGATTCACATAAAGTGCTCTGATGAGACGGGGCTACGTCAAAGTCGTGAGGCAACACACGATTTAATTTGCAATGCGCTCAAAGGGATGATTTTTTGAATACTATTCTTATAACTTCCCCTCATATCGGTAATGGCAGTGTACGGTACATTTGGCTTCTTGGCTTTCAAGTGCTGATTCATATACATGTATATGCATATACACATACATGCATTTATATATATATATATTTATATTCTTTTAAATTCTTGGGTTATTTTTTGATAGACAGGGGGTAAATGGCGGTGAAGGTGCATGCTGAGAGATCCAAGAAGATCTCTCAACTGACAAAGAAGTGTTCGACAGTTCGGAGGAGTCGTGCTTCTCCCAGGCTGTACATGAAGGGAACACTAGCAGGATATACAAGGGGACTTCACGGACAGAACAAGAACACTGCGCTGATTCGCGTTGAAAACGTAAACACGACTGAGGACGCTAAGTGGTACACTGGGAAGCGTGTGTGCTATGTGTACCATGGATACAAGATGAAACGCTGTGTACGGTGGTCAAAAGCTCCGGCGCGCCGCAGCAACACCCGCGCAATGTGGGGTCGTGTGACCAGGCCTCATGGAGGTTCTGGTGTGGTACGTGCCAAGTTTTCTAGCCCTCTTCCGGCGAAGGCAATTGGCCGACGGATTCGTGTGTACTTGTACCCAAGCCGCATTTAACTTTCCTTGCGCTTCTCTTTTATTTTTGTAGTCAAGTGTTTTGTTGTTGCTTCTTGTGAACTTTTATCCACTATCTACCTTGTTTTGGTCTACATGGTGCCATACCAGATATATTTTTTTCTATATTTCTTATCTGAAAACGAAAAGGTAATGACACAAACGTAAGAAGCAAAAATGAGCACACAAAAAGTATTTTCCGGGACCTTTGATTCAACGTACAGTTGTGTATTTACATCATGCGCAGTGTACCACACACCCTTTCCAATTGTACGCCTCGCAAAGGCTGATAATGAGGAAGGATCCTCTGTTTCGGCAGTGATGAGTAGCGGTTATTCCTCGGAGCCCCTGTGTCTTGTCAATTTTGACATTGGTAATGAGTACAAATCCGCTTTTATACAGCTTCTAGATCGTGGGCAACAGATCGCCCTGCCTGCATCTCAGCTATGTCTTGGTTTAACTGCCGATGCATCTCATTCTCTGCTTTGTACAATTCTTGAAAACAATGGGGGCATTATTGATTCTCACTCCACAGCATTTGTTTACGGGTTTGAGGCGAGCGAGTCACCCAAGCTTCACGGTATAGTGAAACACTGCAAGAGCTGCGTCTTTCACCGTGCTGGATTATGGTGTGTGTCGCAACCAGGCAGGGACCTTGAGGCCGGTGTTATAAGTCTTTCGTTCGCTGATCTTCTTGGACTTTCACAAGTGGAATTGAGGGAGAATCCTGCTGTTTTTGGTACCCTCTCCGACCCTATTTCCATGGAGGCTATGGACGGCAACGTTGCCTGTGTATTCACTGCGCATGGGGCTTCCCTTTGTGACTTGAGAGCTAAAGGGATTCAATGTATTTATCAGTCACGAAATCGTCTTCTTTCCGGAGTGATGTGTAAGGAAGGGGATGCCTTGGTTGTTTCCTCAGATGCAGATACGGTTTCGGTAATTGAAACGCGGAAAGCCACGAACGCGCTGTATGAGACAAGTGTGTCTTTCCCTGTTACGTTGCGTTCGTCCATAGGGGGGAAGGTGGCACTCGCCATTTCTCGTCGTCAAGTGGGGGTGCTTCATGTTGGAAGGCCGGGGTTTTTGGGTGCATTCGAGAACCCGGGCACTATACTTGATGCAACTCTATTAACCGAGGAGCAGCACATCGTCCGCGTACTTTCCTCCTCCGCTGATGGGTGTCTTAGTGATTGGTCAATGGAATTCTGAAAGAATGAAATGACATGAATGTGATGGTAACCAATACATGAGCTCGGCCTCCAAAACATGATTGAAACGTGAGATGAACGTGTCGTATACTGACGGAAAGGAGAACTCCTCATCGTGAAGAGTAAAAAGGCGTTTTTGCGCCAAGAGTGGGAATTGTTTGTTCGATTTCGGACTCCTTTTCTTGTGTGAATGAAGTATATTGAATCACCATTTTTTTTCTTGACAGAGCACAGCATTTCCTTGATCATGGCTGAGGTTCTAGATTCGCTTGGCAAGGTTTTTTTTTTGGTTTTAATGCTGGAAGTAGAGTGTTGGGCTTCACAACAGCATTGAGGTGACAGACATATTCATCGGGGTTGCATCGGTTCAGGGCGGTTTAAGTAAGGGACCGGCCGTATGTGCCACGTGATGGCCGTTTTCGAAAAAGGTTTGTTCTGCTGTTTTCGTTGTGCTGTCGTTCAGGTTTACGACTGGCTTCTGAAAAATATTATTTGTGAAGCTATATTTGTAAAAAAATATATATACTGGTTGCAATGGGAATTTTAAATTGTCAGAAATGACTGGAAGGGTTGCTCTGCTCCGTGTTTAGACAGACTGTTTCCTTTGTTTCTGGAGAGATACTGTTTCCGTTTTAATTGGCGTTTAGTTACCCTTCCTAAGCGATAAATAAAGGGAAACAACATGGCATCAAATGAAAATCCACCCTATTATTCCTACGGGCAGCCAGGATACGGACAGCCCCAGCCAGGCTACGGACAACCCCAGCTAGGATACGGACAGCCCCAGCCAGAATACGGACAACCCCAGCCAGGCTATGGGCAACACCAGCCAGGATACGGACAACCCCAGCCAGGATACGGACAGCCCCAGCCAGGCTATGGGCAACCCCAGCTAGGATACGGACAGCCCCAGCCAGGCTACGGACAACCCCAGCTAGGATACGGACAGCCCCAGCCAGGCTATGGGCAACCCCAGCTAGGATACGGACAACCCCAACCAGGATCTGGCAAGCCGGACTCTGGGAATAATCTACCCTCAACCAACACNTATGGGCAACCCCAGCTAGGATACGGACAACCCCAACCAGGATCTGGCAAGCCGGACTCTGGGAATAATCTACCCTCAACCAACACGCCGGCAATTCCAGCTCAGGCATCTTACTATGATTACACCGCGCCAGCAGGATATAGCGATGTTCAAAAATGGGAAGGCTCGAACAAGTGGGCGACAAGTATGTGGCTTGCACCATGCAAGGAACCATGTTTTTGCATATCCGCATGTTGCTGTCCTTGTTGCTGCACGTTTATGCAGCGCAAAAAACTAATGCTTGAAGATTGGTCTCGCTATATGTGCTGCGCTGGAATGTGTGGCAACCTGTCGTGCTGTGTGTGTAAAGGTTGTGAGCCATGCTGCTTGTGCTTGGAGACTACTTTTTGTCTTGCGTGTGCTGTGCATGGTAACCGATTTATGGTTCTTCAGCATTATAATCTTAAGAACGACTGTTGTGACATTGCTGTCATGTGCGGTGCATGCATCCTGAGTATTCTGGCAATTATACTTCAAAATGATTCCCTAAAGCTTTTGGCCGATATTATGTACTACGTTACAATCGGCTGCATGCTGGCCCAGCATGAACATCAAATGAAGAAATTCGGATACCCGAGAGGGCAGAATATGGTGTAATACTGGAATTGAGGCATCTGTTTTCATAAAAACGTGTGTTCCGCTAGTAACGCCTGTTATGCGCGTGTTACACCATCAAGTACATCAAAGGTAGAGTGCTATTTATTCAGGGAGAGAATACAGACCTTTTTCATCTGCTCTAAAGATGAACTTCGCCTTTTTGCACGTGAGACTGTGCGGCATACTTTTTTCCCCCATTTCTTTTATTATTGCTCGCGGTTCTCGAGTAGGAGCCTGTTTTTTTTACCGAGAGGATGACAGATGGCCGGAGGAGTGTATCGAAGTGTAAGTTGGTTGGTCAAGTGGCGTTCGTCTTTCACCCTGTTCGAGCTTGGGAACAGTGTGTTGTTCTTAGCGTTGACGAATCGGATGCTGGTGAAGTGGCCATCGCACGATTGAGGTCTGGTGAGATATTGGAAGTCCCCGTGATTGCTGACTCTTTGTTTCTGCCGTCCGTCTCTGGTTCTGTTGACAGCTTTCCCGACGACCTCCTTCAACTCCCCGAGCTCCACGACGCACTTCTGCTTAATGCCTTACGGGTCCGTCATGCCAGGGATCTTACCTACATGCACATTGGGGAAATAATACTTTCGGTGAACCCCTTCAAGACAATACCGGCCTACATGGATAAGTGCATGCAAGCGTATCTCGACCACCTGGATACGGCACAGCTTCCTTCTGGTCTCCCTCCTCACGTCTGGGGCGTAGCTCACCGGGCCTACGTCGAGATGCGTTTACGACAATTGAATTACTCTATCGTCGCTTCTGGAGAGAGTGGAAGCGGAAAAACCGAAGCGTGCAAGAAGATGCTGAAGTATTTATGTGCGGCGTCTGAGCGTGTGGCAACAGATGAGTCAGTGAGCCATCGCCTGCGGTGCATCAGCGAAAAGGTGCAAATGAGCAGTGTCATCTTGGAGTCATTTGGAAACGCCAAGACGGTGAAAAATGATAATAGTTCACGGTTTGGGAAGTTTATGGAAGTTCAGTTTGATACCAATGGTGTTATGGTGGGATTGCGGGTAACTCCATTCCTATTGGAACGCTCACGTGCAATTACGTGCGGAAACGATGAGCGGGTGTATCATGTGTTTTATCAACTAGTCGCGGGTGCTAACAAGGTCTTGCGGGATGCTCTTCGAATAGGAAATCCTCGAGATTTCGTGTTGCTTAACAAAGGTGGGTGTGTCTCTCTCAAAAGCAGTGGGGTAGATGACGCAAAGGATTTTCAGTTCCTACAAAAAGCACTTGTAAGTATCGGCTTCTCAGACGAAGAGCAAAGCGCTATGTGGAGCGTGGTAGGGTCTGTACTACATATGCAGAACATTGTGTTCGAATTACGAAAAATCGATGACTCCGCTTACCTTAGCGAGGGGGATATTGAAATTGCAACCTTTGTTGCTGCCCATTTGCTCCAGCTTCCACAATCTAAGTCATTTGTGGAATGTCTCACAGCGAGCACTGTCGTCATCGGAGAAGAGCACCTGACGCGGAAGTTTTCGGTTCAGAAAGCAAAAGATCAACGCGACAGTATTTGTAAGTTTCTGTACTCGAAACTCTTTCTTTTCCTAGTTCACAAAATTAATGCGGCCACTGCCTGTGGTGCTCACCAGAATGATCTTAATGTTTCAACAACTTCTGTGGGTGGCGATTCGTCTCTTAGCGAAAGTGCGCCGGCAACATGGATAGGCCTACTTGATATATTTGGTTTTGAGGACCTTCAGGTAAACTCATTGGAGCAGTTCTGCATCAACCTTGCAAACGAAGCACTGCAGCGACAGTACGCCGAGAAAATGTTTCTTACAGACGCTGAGGAAATGCGCACCGAAGGGGTGGAACCAAATATCACGGATTTCATAGATAATCAACTTTGTTTGGTATTGTTGCAAGGCTCCAAAAATTCTATCATATCATTCTTGGATGATGCATCGCTGCTTGATGTTGAACGCTCACGGACGAATCCTGACTTTGTCTTTCTTAACACAATTACATCGGCGTTTCGCCCTGATTATCAAACGGCACCTGGCAAGACGACGCGTAGTGTATTGGGACGAAACGCCAAAATGGATAGCCCTTCCACGTACTTTTATAGGGGGCGCTTGGATGACAACAATTTCACAATTCGGCATTATGCGGGAGATGCAAAGTATTGCGTCAACAATTTCGTGGAGAAGAATAATGACATTGTAAAGGATTCCTGCGCACAGGTGCTGCAAGGTACAACTTCATGGACACTCCAAGAAATGATGGGCACCACAGAAGAAATGGTTGGCTTGCTGGGTGATGTGGATTCCCCAAGTTCCCCTTTATCTAACTCTCGCGGATCGAAACGGACCGTTGCCTCAACCTTCCGAACCTCCTTGCGCCTACTGACGGAGATGCTAAATAGCAGCGCGTGCAACTGGGTGCGTTGCATTCGACCTCATTCGAGGCGTCAATCGGGGCTTTTTGACGGTAAACTGGTGCTAGAGCAACTTGTAGCCACTGGAGTTCTGAGCACTATAAATCAACGTCAGAAGAATTATCCATTCCGTCCACAGTGTAATGAATTTTTGCATCACTATCGTGTCATACTCAGGTCAAGGCATTCTTACTGGTCAAGGATGACACTAAAGGAAAGGTGTTCTGCGTTGCTTATGGAGGCTGGTACCGAGGCGAGGTCTGCTCAGGTAGGGAATACTCGTGTCTTCCTCACCACTGAAGCTCACCGACTTCTCGAGTATAAACGGTTGCAACGCTCTGAGGAGATGGTTGAAATAGTCAAGCGTTATATAGCCGCTTTTTTGTCTCGGATGCATACGCGTGCAGTCCTCCTTACTCGTTATGCTCTCAGTATGCAGCGCCTCTGGCGAATCACTTTGCGCATTCGTCGGTGCGTTCAGCAGTACTACGAGGAGCTGCGCCGCAAGCGGAACGAACGATTTCTAGAGGTCATGAAAAGCCTGCTGCGTTGGGAAGCGCGCTCCCGTCTCGAGTTTCTCGGGGAGCATGATTCGTATATTCGGACTCTGTGGCGTGAGTTTCGTACTCAACTAGTCCCATTAGTCTCCGATGTGCTTAGGAATGTGCGGGCGGTGGAGGCAAAGCAACGAGAAGTAGTTTCGTTGAAGGCTTTCTCATGCTACAGTGTGTTTTGTGAAACCTTTGTACGAGAGGCCGCGGTCGCCTTGGAAAGAGAGAAACAACGAATTAATGCAAAACTGGAGTTGGACGCGAGGAAACGTGCGGAGATGTTGGACAGCGCTGTAAAGATGTTAAAGACAGTAGTTGAGGAAGAGCAGTCTGCTTATGAGGCGCTGCAAAGTGGAATCATCGCTCCATGCATGAAGAAGCTGAAGGCCCAGGCAAATGTCATCCGCAGGTTAAACCAGTGGCGAGATGAAAGTCTACGAGAGTTGAATGATGCAAAGGTGGCAGAGGAGCGACGCCTTGCTGTAGAAGAGGTTGAAAAAACACAGAGTGAAGAAGAAAAGTGGCGATGTCTTGTGGGGGAGGAACAGTACCTGAAGGAGATGCGGTACTTTCAGTCCTTTTCTGCGGATCCTTACAGTACACCGCCGCCTCTCCGTGCTTTCTTGAGAAACGGCATTCCCTCGAAGGTACTTCAAACGCCAATCTATAGCAACTGCCCAGCATTCGCCTCTATTGGCGCTGTGAGTTCGTTTTATGATTACAGGGAATATATTCGGAGTGAATTTTCACGCGCGTGCACAAATGGAACGGTGCCAAGTCTTCATGTGCATCAGCATCATGACGGGGCGCTCTGCAAGCTCTGCAACTTTTTATCGTACCCTTCGCATCTTGGCGTTCCTGCGAAACAACTGGATCCCTCCCCATCAACGCATGGAGTTAGTCGTCGGCTGTACGAGGAGAATAGCGACAGTGACGACAGCTTTGATGAGTTAAATTACTAGTTCAAAGTGATGTGTCTTTTAAGTATTTGTTCTCGGGTGAGGATTGAACTTGTTGGGAGTCTTGGACGTAGTCTCTAGGCTAGAGACTTGTATGGTATTTGTGTCGTTTGGGGGAGTTCTTCCGGTCTTTTATAAATGTGCGTCATCCTTCTTTACATTTGGTTAGAGAGTTTTTTTTTTTGCGGGCTGGGGGTGCTTGCGCGTGGGTAGGTTCGTGGGAAATGCTCCAGATAGGCTCTGTTTTCTTGCCGTTGCAGGGATGGCGGCTCACGGAGATCGTGGCGGGCACAACGCATGTGATTCTTCTTCTTGTGCTTAGCGGTATGTTGTTGATTACGTGGCCATTTGTGTTGAGTTTCAAAGGGGTCATGCTCTTTACCTTTTACGTTGCAGGAATGCTTCACTTCCAGCGGCGTCTGGCGTCAGGGTTGCCCCTCACCTACACATTGAAAAGCTGGCGCGCCAGCAAGACCAACTTCCGCTTCACGTCTTCCTTCGTGAAACAGATTTTTGAAAAAGAATTGCCGCCGTTCCCATCGGCAGATGCCAGAGAAAAAATGAGATCCGGTAGCCGCCCTGTTGTTGTTATTACGGGTGGTGAAAGGGGTATCGGCTACGAGGTAGTGAAGCAGCTGGCCCTTCTGCACTTTGACCTATTTGTCTGCTGTCCCTCAGTCCCCGCAGCAGGGAGAGCTATTACCCGTATACGACGCGTGGTTGCCAAAAATGCCTGCGACAGCCTCTCGCCCGGAAAAATAGTCCCTCTCCAGTTGGACTTGTCAAATGAGGCGAGTGTTCGCCGATGCGCCTCAGATATTCTGGCCGCAACGTCGCGAATTGACGTCCTTATCAACAATGCCGGCATCCTTCACACAGGAAGCACACGGGTGACGAATTTGAGGGGGGATGAACTTGTTTTGGCTGTGAACTTCATTGGGCCTGCCCTTTTCACGGAACTTCTTCTTGACACTATAAAGCAAAGCCGACCTTCACGGATTGTAAATGTTTCCTCTCTCATGCAACTGTCAGCCTGCATACCTCCCGAATACTCACCCCTGACAATTCTTATGGAAAACTGTAGTCCCATGCCATGGGTGGTTACCAAGAACTACAGTCTCTCCAAGCTTCTTGTTGTGTGCTACACAAGAGACTTGGCGGTGCGATTGCATGACAGCGGTGTGAACGTTTCGTGTCTGCATCCCGGTGTTGTGTTTTCACACATATACGATGGTCTTGGCTTCTGGGTTAAGGTGATGCCGTATTTGATGCGGACAGTCTTTAGGTTTCGTGGTGAGGGTGCGGAGGTGGTGCTTCATAATGTGCTTGCGGACGGGGTTGAGAACGGAAGTTTCTATGCTGACCGCAAAAACTTTGACTCTGTGGTCTCGCCTTGGGCAAGAGACCCGAAAATGAACGCCAAGATAACGCTCTGGGTGCGGGAGCACTTCGGTTTAAATTGAACCGAGTAATTTTTTGGTATTTTTTGTTTGGAAGTTTTGTTTCATTTGCGTGGGGTCTGAAGGGTGTCACGATGCGCTGTGAAGTTCTTCCCGTCTATGTGCATATCAGCAGGGGATAAGAAGAATAGAGATAAGGAGAATAGTTTTTTCATGTTAATACATTTTTTTTTTTTAAAGAGAGTGAGTTGATCAACAACGTAAGATCAGCGGTATCATCATGTGAAACAAAGCAACACACCAGACACGAGAGCATTCCGGAGCCTTGTCGCTGAGAGGTCGTGACATGTGTGTCGCCTCTGTATGCACGTCTTCTTTGCCTACGGTGACTGCTGTGCCACGGTTCTCTTTGACATCAAGTATCCTTTAGTTTCGAGTATTCACCAATGGCCAGCATTGTTAACACCACAGTTCTACAATACCTTGAGGAGCACTACCCGACTGTGGCTGAGGTGTTTCGAAACGAAGAACCAAAGATAAAGTGGCGCCGCCTAGCAAAGGGTACAACACTAGAGTCACTTATCATAGACTCTCAGAGAGGCGAAAAACACCCCGCAGATCCTGCGCTAACCAATAATGAACAACATGTGGCCAAGCGGAACCGAACAGAGGGAAATCCTCCGGTCCCTGACAGCTCCTCTGACGATGACGACGAGCCCGTGAGGAAGCCCGTGGCAAAGGGCAAGGCGTCTCCTGCAA